TGCCTGGCTGGTGGTGTTCCTGGGGGTGGGTGGTGGGTGGTGGTGGGGTGACTATTTAAAGACAGCCACTCCTGGCCACATCCCCTCTCCCTGCTGCCTTGCACAGCTGCCTTTAGCCCAGGTGGAATGGGGGAAAAGGAGGCTGCTGTGGTGTCCTCTGCGTCCTCTGGATGGCTGGGTGGTGGTATACAGTATCTAAAGGTGAAAATGTGTGCTGCACATAGCTGTGACCAAGAGTCACATCTCTGTGTCAAGAAATATTTCCCCTCTCTTCAAGCAGGAGCCAGTGATCTGGATTGAAATAGAAAAATGCACAATGTGATGATCTCATGCCATGGGGGAAATGTCCTACACAGTACAAAAGAAAGGAGGAGAAACCCACACACTTCTACCTTAATTACAGGTATGAAGCACAGAAGTATATCTTGTATGTCTAAACTGTGGCCGATTAGATGTTGGAGGACACTTCTATAATCATTAATTCTTCTTGGTAAGCTTGATGGGAGCTGTAGTTGAATAATGTCAGGAATGTCACAGTCATCCACTCCAGTTTGATCTAAATAATCTAAGATTTGGTTCAGATTCAAACCTCTGCAAGATGTCTGGTAGTAGATTCAAGATTTCTATAGTAATTTACAACATTTGCATGTATACTATAACAACATGTGAGGTGCATAGTCATACATTTTCTCTCCCTAAAGGAAAACTTTCCAATATTCTTCAGATGTTTAGTCTATTAACCTTTAGCAGAATCAATTTTTTCCCTGTAAAAGTTATTGATTCCCATTAATTGTTACAGTGTTACAAAAAGTAATTAATTATCATTACTCCCTGAAATGTTAGAAAAGTAAGTCATTGCTTTACTTGCTGCTTTCCACTGTTGTTGTTGTGTGTCTTCAGGTCATTTCCATCTTACAGAGATCCTAAGATGAATCTATCATGGTGTTTTTTCAGCAAGATTGTTCAGGGCTTTTTTTTTTTTTTGCCTTTGCCTTCCTCTAAGGCTGAGAGTGTACGTTTTGCCCAGGGACACCCAGGGGGTTTCTATGTCCCAAGTAGAGATTTGAACCCTGGTCTCTAAAGTTGTATCTAACTCCCAAACTCAATTCCCCCCCCATCTTTAGAATCGAGGCAATGGAATAAAACTTGAAAAATTCTACTCAAAATTCCTCTAAAATGAGGGTTGTTGCTGTTGTTATTGTGTTTTTTTTGTTTTGCAAAATTGATAACATTAAACATATCTGAAAGTATCATCTGTTATACCCAAGGAAAGGTAGGTCATGTCCCATTACTTTTGATATGACATTCATTGTTCACATCCTCAAATGGATGGACATGAAATGGATTTCTTGTAGGAATGCAATGCCAGTTTTAAATTATTTTAACTCGAAAAGTGTTCATTTTTGTTTGTTTACATCTTACAGCCCTTTGACATTTTGTGAAATTATATTAAACATTAAACCACCAGTACAGTTTAGCATCTACATCAAACCCATGATTTCCAGCATTACAGATTTGATTTTTTAAAAGCGTCTATAAAATAGCATATATTTGCTAAGTTATGATTTGTAGCTATTAATTACAAAAATCATGATTAATTACATAAGTCATTACTTCTCTGCTTATATCAATTATGGTATTCTTACAAACTCTGAGAAACTTTATAAAATCACATATAAGTGAAGAAAATGGGGAAAAATACAGAAAATGATGTTAATAAAATAAAGAAGTGCCCACAATTTCCTAAATGTCTCCAAAAACATATAAACAAATGCAAAAACCAAAACGAAAACAAAAAAAGTAAAGATGCTAAAAGAGAAAAAGGAAACTGTGGATTTCCAGTTGGAGAAAGCATAGTGATCTATCTTCTCCCTCCTTTAACTAATGTGTCTCATAGAACACCCTCAATAGGAATGGAAAAAAGAAAGAAAAATGAGAACAGATAAAATATATGGAACTCTAATAGAAACTGAATTAATGTAATGTGATAAAATGATAAAGCAGCCACAGAATGAAAGAAAATGGAGAAGAAGAATTAAAATAAAGGAGAAAAGGCAAATGAAAAATGAAAGAAGAAAGGAAAGAAAGAGAAAAGAAGATAAATCCATAGTATGAAACTGATACATGAAATCTGAGGCATATTATATTTAGAATGGTTTAACAAATGGTGACCTCAGCTTGGCTTCATCACAGAGTTGATGTGGAACCTTGAGTTGGACCTGGGATTCAGCCTTGGATCTGGTTTTCAGTCCAATTAGAATGGTTTCCACTGCATTAGCCAACTGGAATTTCTTTAATTTCCCCATCCACAAAGATAAAAAATGTAGCCAGATATGTGATATAATAGTTCAGATTTAGTTGCATTGCTAGCATTCTTGCTTTGATAAATTATCTCCTCCAATCACTTATGTCCCTTGTATAGTCAAGAAAAGTCATGACCTTATTTGATTTACATGGCAGCTCTTCCCACTGCCTACCAGTTTGGAGCAGAGAATCTCTCTTAGACACATGGAGAAATTGAATAACTGGTGGAGAAACCCCATCTGTTGTTTAGCATTGGAAACTCGATAGATCTTCTAGATCTCTAAATGAAAATCAGAAGGCTAAGGGCCATTGCAGACCGGCCCAAAGGGCCAGCCTAGGGGGTGGAGTTGGAATGGAGCAGCCGCATGCCAGCCACCCAACCCCATGCTGATGCAGTCTTGATGCTGCGCAGCTGTACACATGCCACGTGGCATCATGACACCCTCCCAGTGCAGTGTTTAAACACAGTGCACTGAAAGGGTGAGGAAGAACCACAGCAACGGCTCTTGGGGTGGCCTTCTGCCACCCCTAAAAGGAGTGGCATTTTGCCACTCTTTTCGGGTTGGCAAAAGGGATGATTGGGGCCACGGAATGGGGTTGCTG